CGTGCGTCTCAGCCAGAAAAAAAAGGTCCGGTAGTGATAGGTGATGGATGACTGGAGGGAAAAGGGCCAGGAAGGGCAGACTCTGAAGTAGCTTCGGCCTAGTCGTTTCCTGCTGCATTTCCAGTTCCCCCATGCTGAAGTGGGGAAGGTGAACCACGAGGATCCAGACTGTCTCTGCAGCCTTGAATGGCCGCTGCTGAGCAGGTGACCCCTTGGGTGGGGGTGCCCTTTCGCCCCCGAGCGTGCTCTCCAGAAGTAGCTTCGGCCTAGTCGTTTCCTGCTGCATTTCCAGTTCTCCCAGGCTGAAGTGGGGAAGGTGAACCACGAGGAGCCAGACTGTCTCTGCAGCCTTGAGTGGCCGCTGCTGAGCAGGTGACCCCTGGGGGGGGGCCTTTCGCCCCCGAGCGTGCTCTCCGGGGACTCACTGTCGGCTTCCCCCTCCGGACAGGCTTTTCCTGCTGCTTGAGAGTTCTCAGAAGCTGACGCTTGTGGCGGAGTCCTTCTACCACCAGCACTGCGTCCTGAAGGTCCAGGCATTCGCCTCTGAGGCGGCAGGTGGACGGAGGTGAGAACGAAGCCGCCGCGAGTGGCCTTTCCCTGCCCTTCCTCCGGGTGCGTCTCCCGGCCTTGCGGTTCCTTCCAGAGCGGGAGAGCTGGGCTAGCCTCATGTATCAAAGCCTGTGGCTCCCTTCAGGATTGACAGCTGTCCCACAGGATGAGCGGAGGTGAGAACGAAGCCGCCGCGAGTGGCCTTTCCCTGCCCTTCCTCCGGGTGCGTCTCCCAGCCCTGCGGTTCCTTCCAGAGCGGGAGAGCCGGGCTAGCCTCGTGTATCAAAGACAACAGGGGGGCCTGTGGCTCCCTTCAGGATTGACAGCTGTCCCACATTACAGGATGAGCTTCTACGGACTTTAGGAAATATTCCTCCTGCTCAGGAAATATTATCCTAAGCTGGCAGCATCCAGACATATGGTGGGGGGGGGCAGGGAGGTGGCATTGTCAACCGTGAGACGGGAACTAAAAACGCGGAGACCACAGACACGGATCGTTACCTTAATAGCACTATTCACAAAACGTGCCTGGTGTAGTCTTACCTAATTACCTGGAGAGTTGAGAACTGGGGTGGAACTGACCTGATCTGGCCTCAGGGACCTAGAAAGCCAGCCCCCCAACTTTTTTTAAACTTCAGTGCATTTTTCCTTCTCAGGAGACACTTTGTGGCCAGTGCAGCTACCGACGGGAGCATCGCCTTTTGGGACGTCAGCGCTACCCTTGACCTTGCTGCACAAGCGGTACAGGCGGGGGGGGGGGGGGGGAGGAAGAATCTTGGTAAATATCGCCTTTTGGGACGTCAGCGCTACCCTTGACCTTGCTGCACAAGCGGTACAGGCGGGGGGAGGAGAGAGGAAGATTCTGGGTAAATGACTGGACTTGCCTCTCCTGTTCATTCATCTGTGTCCTTAGGTGGAGACGATCCTTTGCACATATGCATCCCTTGCAAAGGGTTCCCCTCCAGCCCTTGTTCCACGCCCACTGGTGTTGTTTTTTTAAAAAAAACATAATACTTTGCTTGCCAAATTTGTATCCTGCTCCCTTTGAAAGTGTGACGCTCCAGATGTTATTGGACTGGCGCTCACATTAGCCCTGGGTCACAAGCTCAACGGGGAGGAAGGCTAAGAAAAGATCCCGGAAACCGCTGGCCGTATCTGCAGTAAATAATAAAGTAAAATAAACCTCTGTGTTTTGCAGACCTGGGAACCCGGCTTCTGACTATTCAGGCCCACAGCTGTGGGGTCAATAGCCTCCAAGTCCATAAAATGGCAGGTGGGCATTTCCTCGTGGCCAGTGGCAGCGATGATGGCTCCATCTCGGTCAGCGACATCGATGTGAACGATGAAAGCATTGTGGACGGAGAAGCCCCCGCCGAGATCAGCATCCGCATCTTCAGGACATTGTCCAGGCCATGCGCCCACGCGGCCCACGTGACGGGGGTGAGGCTCCTGCGCCCAGACCTCCTCCTTTCTGCTTCGGTGGACCAGCGGCTGACGCTCTGGCATCTTTGTGAGGACCGCTTGTCTTTTGTGTGCAGCAAATTCTGTCACGTGGCTGACGTGGCCGCTCTGGAGTGCTGGGAAGTGGAGGGGCCCAGCTGTCACAACGTGGTATGCGGCCAGGGTTTACAGGTGCTCCGTTGCAGCCTGGAGTTGCAAGGTACAAAAACAGATGGCGATGTATGACCAAGCATGGAGTGCCAAGGGCGCTTCTTTTCTTTCTGGAATGCTGACGAGAAGAAAGGACAAGCAGGCTTGCATCGGGTCCTCGTAGGGCAGCAACACGGACTACAAGAGGACTCCGGTATTCCTTATCCACACAGATGCAATTGTTGATCATTGGGTCACTCGTCTGCTCCCTTTCACCAGCAGGCGTACTCCACTTTAGCAGCCTGTTTTAGCGTGGTGCTGCGTCTCAGAGGCTGATAGTGTGATAATAACCCCTCATCAGAACTTTAATTGTTTTTGGATTCAGAATCCCAGAATTACTCAACCAATGTGGCCATGGGTGCAGGATTCTGGGAGTTGCCATCAAAAAAAGGCATGAAGTGGACAAGCGCATGCTTACCTGGTATTACTACCCTCTACCTTTGCTGGTTTGATGACCAACCTTTGTAGATATGCTTTTTTTTTTAAAAAAAAATGCTTCTGGTCTCTTTTTTCAGAGCATTGCACAATTTAAAATATGAAATATAGGTAAACATTAAAAACAAATTGAAATGTTAGAAAGGATTGTCATTTGTGCTCTTTAAAAAGACCATGGGATCACTTTGCTCATCAGCAAGTTTGCAATGCAACACTTCTGGAAGTGGAAGGATTGTGGCTGAGGGCATGCAGTTGCCCAGGGGATGGCAGAGTGTACTCCCAATGCTTTCCACTCTTCGGGGAGATTCCTTCTAGGTTCCCCCTCGCTCTGATCTACGCAGCACTGCAGAGACGACAATGGGCTGGGTTGCAAAGCAAATTCCAAAATCCCTCCTGGAGTTATGGTGTGCGAGCTTGTAAAATCACTGGTCGCATCTCCAGCCAAGAAGTTACGGAACTAATCGAGGGGAGGTAAAGCTTGGTATGGTCGGCATGTCTTGAGATGCAATGAAGGAGGCGCGCTATGCAGGCAAGCACGAGACGATGTCGTGGCATTGCATTTCACCTCGACCACTCAGACCTGCTGTAGGCTGGAACGTCTGGATAACACACATCAAAAAAGAAATTCAGAGCCGCTTCTATTCTGTGAGAGCTAACAAGCTCATGATAATGGGCTTTTCAGGCCTGTGCTCAATAATTCAGCACTTGAATCCTGGAGTGGCTGCAGTTACTGGCCCCCCCTGGTAGTTCCATGCATATTTCATGACCAGGCTGCCACACCAGGGAGGTCACGCCAGGGCCCCATTGTGTGGGAGTTTGGCACGTGGTCATACTCTGCTGATACCCAATAGCTTCTAGTTTCTTGAACATGGGGGAGGTCACGCCAGGGCCCCATTGTGTGGCAGTTCGGCACACAGTCATACTCTGCTGATTCCCAATAGCTTTTGGTTTCTTGAGCACGGGGGTGGGTGGGGTGGGCAGGCAAAGATGCTCAACTTATGCCACATGAACAGCATTGTCTCGAGCTGCATAGGACCAATTGTGAGACGCGCCAGGTGGTCCTGATGCCAGACGGGCATTCAGTAGCAAGGCTTGGACTCTTCTCTGACAAGTATTCAGCCTAAGCTGCTGCATATTCAACACCTGGTCTTTCCCACCAGCTAACCTGAGATGCTTCAAGTGGGTTGCTTCAGAAAATGCCGTTCCAGCCACACTTTGCCCCCAAGCCCAGGCAGAGACACGGCCCAGAAGCCGAGCTGACGGCACATCTGGAAGCCACAGGCACGCTCCCTTCACTGGCTGTATCTGTGGTCCGAAGTTCAGCCTTGCCCACCGCCAGTGTCACCACCCACCCCGGCTGCACCATGAGGATGAGTGTGGGCCAAGCTTTCAGAAAGTGCCAGAGCCGGGCAAGGAAGAAAGAGGAGCCTCCCAGAAGCAAGTGTGCCGGCTGGCTGGAGAAGGTATGGAAAGCCGCGGTGGGCATCATGCGTTTGGGCAGAGGGTTCAAAGGCATGGTGGGAAATAGGCTTTCAGAATAGTTCAAAATTCAAGATACTGTATTACTGAAACTGAGGTCTGAGCCATACTGGTGCCCAGCATTCAGAAATCTGCAATTCTTTATATAGCATAAATGAACGGCTAAACTGGGAAGACCTGGCTTCAGGAAACATCTTGTACAATACTCATTCCTGCCCTGGAGAAAAGTATTTTGGACGTGCTTGAGATACACTAGTAGGTTTCAAATTGATGAAATCACAGGGTAGCTCTACGAGGGGCATACACTGGAAGTTGGGAGAACGGATCTGTGCGGGTTTGCCTTTTAACATACTTCCATGGTGGCTCATTCGAAAACCCAGCTTTTGCTTGTTGTAGGGGGTGATGGTGGCATTGCCTCCGCCTTTCCCGATGTTTTGTACTATAAATGTCACCGTCCTCTGCCACTGATCATGCTGGGTGGATACTGATATGAATGGTAGGCCAAAACAGGGGGAAAGCTAAGGGCCTGGCTTACTGGTTTCAGGGATGGGAGGAGGGAACTTCCCAGTGAGAGGACTGATCAAAGACTGTGCCACCAGTTGTTGAGGTGGCCTTTTAGGGTTTGCCCCAGAATCTTCACTTCCATTAGCAGGGGTGCTGGATGAAATAAATGGATCTGGAGGAAAATATGATGTCAGAATCTCCCCAGAGGGCAGCACATGGTTTATTTCCCCCTCAATGGTCTTCTTGCTAGGTTTGTTTCCAACAGTTACAATTGTACACCAGAAGGTAAGGGCATTTTAGGGTGCATGTATATTTGCATGTATATATTCAGGCACTATAGATCTGCAACATGGTGCTCAAGAAAAATGGAAACGAAATTATGTCCAGATCCCAAAAATCACAAGCCATCTCTGAGATGCTCTATATACAACCCCTACTGCTCCCCCTTCTTTTTTTTTCCTGAGCCATACCCTATTATTCCCATTTCCCTCTTTCCACATCCAGGTAGAAGTTGCAAAGAAACACCAAAATAAAACTGCTCCCAACACTTCCTTAACCTCCAGGCAAAACAAGATGGCTCTCCCCCCGATTCTCAAAGAAGACGACGCCTCTGGTGAGACTCTGGTCCCTGATCCCCACCTATCTTCTGGCAGAGTTAAGAGAGACCCCCAGCCCCCAGCCCTAAGCTAGGCATAGGGAGTCTCTGGCCTTTGTAGGCTCTTAAGACTACAACTCCCACAGTCCTTTACAAGCAGATGTGTTGACTTGTTTCTAAAGTACAGAACATCCAGGTGGAGAAAGGATTCTCCTTGGCTATCCGCTGCCGAAGGTGTCCTGCTGGTATTTGGGAAGAATTCACTCCTCAGTGTTTGAGGCAGGATTTATGCCTTCAGTCCCTCTTGACAGCAGGCCAGTCATCTCTAGGGGCGGCAGAGGGCCTGCTTGAGCCTCACACGCCAGAGCAGAGAGAGCAAGGAGTGTATACAGTGGACCCTCGACTTACAGACGGCTCGACTTACAGACTTTTCGAGTTACAGACTTCTCTGGCCGCAAAATTTAGATTCGACTTGCAGCCGGAGAATCGACTTACAGACCAGAAAAAAACCAAAATGGAACAAAAACAGAATAAAAACTGCCAGTTATGGGATTAATCGGTTTTCAATGCATTGTAGGTCAATGGAGATTCGACTTACAGACTTTTCGACTTGCAGCCACCGTTCCAATACGGATTAATTCTGTAAGTAGAGGATCCACTGTACCAGAAGCAAAGGGCTGGGACTAGGGTAGATCTTCCTCCTCTCAGTCAACGTTATGCCCTCAGCCTGTCTGCCTCACACGCCAGAGCAGAGAGAGCAAGGAGTGTATACCAGAAGCAAAGGGCCAGGACTGGGGTGGATCTTCCTCCTCTCAGTCAACGTTATGTCCTCAGCCCGTCATTTCTCCACCCACCCTTGAGCTGATGCGCTCTTGACTAAATGCTGTGCTTCACTAATGCTTGTTCTGCTCCCCTTTCTCCTGCCTCAGAGAAACCAGGCCAGAAGCTGCCATGTCTTCCTGCCTGCTCCTCCCATGCCAAAGGAGGCCCTTTGAGCAATCATGGCATGACACCCTGGACTGGGCCTTCTCAGTCCGAGACCTCCTTCTATGCCCTGTTCAAGCCTGTGGTGTCCTTCTTGCACGGTGTCCCTTTCTCAGCAGCAGGTGATGCCGACGCCTGCAACTTCTTCCCGGACCTTGGAGAGAAGGCCCCGGCGGCTGCAGAGAGGGAGCAGAGGTCGAGGGCCGCGCTGCTCCAAGGCAAGACCAGGCAGAAAGCCCGGGGCAGAGGCCCGTCCAGGCGCACGCGGAGCAAATGGCATGAGATGAAGCTGCCCCCGGTGCCCAGCATCACCAACCTCAACTTCAGCCGAAACTTCACATTCTCCTTCTTTGAGCTGCCACCTCATCAGAGCCACCAGTACTGGGTGCAACACCAGCAGCTCATCAGCCTCCTTATGAAGCAGCTAAAATAGCAAAGACCTTGTGAAGAAGGCCCAGGACGGGGAGGGACAGCGGCCCAGGCCAGTCCCTCGCACTGCCAAGCTTGCCATTGCCTGACGGAGGAGAACCTGCTGAACTCATTCACAGTCCCTAGAAAATGTAGTTTCCGCACCACCTGGCAGGCACGGCAGAACAAAAAGGAACTGAAGATACAGTTTCTATCCACACATTCAATTATACTCAGTTTTCCTTGCTGTTTATGATTGCAGACACCGAACCGTGCAAACTTAAATCTGATCATCTGCTCCCCATGTGATGTTCAGATTTTTATAACAGGCACTGATGACAACTGTGTATTTTAGTTTATTTACAAACTCACAGGCAGCAAATTTAATCTTGATTCTCTAGCACTGTGGGATGTTCAGACAGGTTTTTACAACAGGTACTGACAACTACGTATACTTTTAAAAGTCTATTTACAAACTTTTGCTTTCTGCAGCCCGTGCCAAAGAAATTATGTGTAAAAAGACAGGGACATGGCCTGGATGGGCTCCACCATTTCAGAACAAAATAAAAGCAAGGACTGAACCATTTGTGTCCAGCGGCTGCACCTTCTTTTGGCTTAATCGATCGCCTCCCTTAACACTGTCTCGAATCTTATTACCAGTTAATGCTCACATAAAGAAAATCGGGTAAATCTTGATAGCAGATCTTGCAGCTTGTTTAAAAGGAGCTGGTTGCAGTCCTAGGTGTGCATCTGATCATGCAACCAGGCCCACACCCAGCAACACAACCAGGACCTTGTTTATGAACACCTGTTTGCTGCCAAGACTTTTGCGACTTTCCTAACACAAGCATAAATTAGCAACAATATTCTGGCTAATATGAGTAAATAGGAACTTTCAACAACAAAGCATCTCAGGCAGGTCCTTTGCCATAAGGAAGGCCTTCTCTTCAACCATGATGAAGCTCTTCCAAGTCTCAGACATGAATCGTGTGCTGTAAAACTGGGAGTCTTTTCCCCTTCACAATAAAGTGACCCATCAGGAAGGCTGAGGCAAGTTTTCTGGAAGTGCCACAGGTGGGCGTGAGTTTGTGTGGCTCAGATCTGGCTAAGAGGAGGCAGCCGGAGGGTGGCCAAGGCACTGTGGAACACTTCTCTCACTGCTCTCATCAGCTGCAACCGTGCAAACATCTGGCTGAATAAATGGGGCCGTGATTCCTGTTGGGGGACAAAGAGGGTCATCAGCTGGCCTTGTGAGCAGGAGATGGTGGTTTCTGGCACTCGGTGTTGGCTGGATGAAGGTTTGAGGCTTTCCTTTTATGTCTTCCAAGTTTCCCCTTTCCCCATTCTCTCTGCAGGGCTAACATTGACACCCTGAGCCACTGCTTTGATTTGGTGATGGGCAAAATCTAGAGTGTGTGCAAGAAATTCTTTTCTGAACAGCCAGCAGTGGCACTCTTGAAGTTGGGGCTATCAAACTGGCGCTTGTCATTCCCACCCCAAGAGAGAAGCTGCCCAGTTGGTAAGGCTATGCCTCGGTCAATAGTTTGAAAACTCTAACAACTCTTCAAAAGTTTCTGTTTCAGAGACTCCCAGAGGACAAAGTCAAGGCAGGAGTGGATTATCTCAGCAGGGCTGATTTATCAGATTTGTCAGCAGCCTGACGATGATGATCTAAAGGAGGTGGGGGTAGGTGGGTGGACTAGCGAAGCTAATTTGCATGTTTAATTTATATATATTTTTTAAAAATTAACAGTGTGGTTGTATGCTGTAAGATGTACTGCAATTGTCTGTTTTTTTAAATTGAAAAATGAATTAGGCTTCTTTTAACCAATCAGAATCTTACTATTTACACTGGTGTAAGTTCAGTGGTATAAACTGCAGCAGTGACTTGCCATTAGTTGATAAGAGAGCTTATGGATCTCTCGTCACATACCACCAGTTCATGTGACTGCCACATTAGAAGGGATATCCATGGCAACTTATTTATGCTGTGATTTATGCTGCCATAAATAAGTAATAGGATTCTCTAAAAAGAAAAGAAAAAGACCTCGAGTGGCTAGAAACCTTAAGGGGGAGTCTGGTGGTTGGATAGCTCAGGGGTGGGGTGAGGGCTAAAGCATCTGGCAGTGGAGCCAGGGTTGGAATCAACTCTTTCTCTTAGGTGAAGAGCCAGCCTGGGTGGCCTTGGGCAGGCTGCACAGTCCTTTAATGCACCCCCAGAAGAAGAGAAGGATAAACCACTTCTGAATATTTTACATCTGGAAATCCCAGAGAAGAGTCTCAGTATCTTAGAACTGACTTGATGGCACATGATTATGAAGATTCGGATTGTGGGGGACCCATGAGTGCTGGGGAACTCTCAGATCATGGCAGAATTGTCCGTATCCCTTTGAAGGCACAGGGAAATTTTTCAAGCAACCCTTGCTCCTTTTTTCAACTTTGGGGCTGGGGTGCAAAAACGGTCCAGGGGCTACTGCATGCATCCTATGGCTCGCCAGTTGCCCGTGGCGGATTTAGGGTGTGCAAGCAAAACTGCCTGTGAGTGGCTGTACAAAGAAACAGTTCTGAATTCTTTTTCACAGCTGATGTTTCTGTTTTGACTAGATATAATGTATCCTTTACAGTGGAGAATGACAAGGATGACTGACATGCAACAGAGTTAATCAGTAAATGGGCTACTTGGTTTGTAGGTAAATCCACCTTCTTTGAACCTATGTGCCACCTCGCTGGATTACACGGCATAGCCCTCTGTACATCATCCTGCCCATTTGAGAGGACTTACCCCCAGGATATGCACCCGGTTATAGTAGGAACTGAAATCCATACTCAGTTGAACCAGGAACTTGCAAATCTAGAACAAAGCAGAACAATGCCATGAATGCAATCCTCACAGGCCCTTCAGTGGGAGCAGCGCAGCTGGAAGCCAGATCAACTGTGCCAAATGATCTGCATTTTACTAAATAAAATGATCAGCCTGTGTTGATCTGTATCATGGACTGTAACCAGCAGTGGCTCTCAGTGATGTCCTACAGGGTCCTTGCCTGGCATGGAGGGCCTTTTCAGCTGGAGATTCCAGCAACTCAGTCATTTACATGCAAGAGTAAACAGGCTTTGATTTTAGATGGGTGCAGGATTGGAGGCCTGAACTCCAGGCACTTGCACAGCCAACTATCCTTGCCCACTGAGTTACTAAAAACGGTTCATGGGGAATGTATGATGATGTGCAAGTACATCCCCTATTTGATGTTTCTGAGCTCCTCAATTTCAACGGTGCCTGAAATAAGTCCCACACGCTTCTTCTGAAGTCTGTAGAGCAGTGGTTCCCAACCTTGGGTCCTCAGATGTCTGTAGACTACAACTCCCAGAAATCCTGGCCACCACAGCTAGTGGTGAAGGTTTCTGGGACTTTTAGTCGAAAAACATCTGGAGACCCATGGCTGGGGGAAAAGGTAGGTATGAACTGGTTCGTTCACGTTTGTCTTGGTTTGTAAAGGCGGCCGCATAGGTGCTGCTGCTCCCCTCTCCACCTTCCTCAGCCAGCCAATCAGCCACTCGCCAGGCCCAGCTTGCTTGCTTTTTCCACCTCCTTGGCTAATCTCCCAGTCAGGAGCAAGAGCACAGACTTCTCTGCCCTGACCTTTTGTCTGAGTGAGAGATCCGCCAAGAGGGCAGGGCAGAAAAACCTGAGCTGTTGCCAGGACTGGAACGATCAATTGAGGGGCTGCATGAAGCTTGCACCCTGGGCCTGGTGATGGGCTGACGGAGGCAGGGGAGTGGGAGCAGCACCAGCACCTGTACTGCTGTCTTTATGAACTGGAATGAATTGGTTCGTGCCCATCTCTGGTTGGGAAACACTGCTACAGAGGATGTCAAAGTAGAATTGGTTAGCAGAGAAATTTGGCCAGTGTCTGCTTTCCAGTGCTTGTAAAGCCACTATCTAGAACCAATTTTCCCTTCCCAGCATTTGTCAGGCAGTACTACGTCTTATCTGGAGCAGCACCCTTAGCTTCCTTTGCCTGCAGTGAGATTCAGCTTTAGTCTGAATATTTACAGATTGCTCTCCAGATCGGCACACAACGGCTAGTCCAATTAAGGTAAACGTAAAAGGTATCCATTCTCTTCCCAAAACACAGCATCTACCAAATGAATCAATAAACTCTCAAGGAAGGCAGCTAAATCTCATAGCATGCTGCAGAGATGGTCACACAACACAAAGGACACTAAAAGAAAGAAGGAAAAACAAGTATCCTAATGCCACCCTGTTCATGTCTGAAAACTGAGCTTACCGCCTCTGTGTTGGCTGTGATCCTGAGTCCGCCACTGGTGACGGGGAGCTGCACTGCTTGGCTCAGTACCTCATGAAAAGGCAGGACACCATTGAACAACAAGAGCCATTCCCCCTGGGAAGAAGCAGAAAGTTGTGAGAGTCCCACTGGCATCAGAGAGGCATGTGACATCCAGCCAAATCCATTCTGATTAAATATGTTGTTTTTTTCCTCACTGCTAACAGCATGCAGCAATAGCAGTCTTGTGGTGGCCAAGTGAAGCATCACACGAACAGACACAAACACACACCAGCAATCTCAGCATGAACAACGTTTTCCCACAGTTCGTAGCAGAAGGGGAAAAGGCAGGCCATCTTATCGACAGTGAAGCAAGGTTTCCGGGCGGAGGACACAAATAAAACCATCACCATCACCACTGCAATCTCAGTGGAAGATCACTGTTGCCACATGACTGACAGTAGCAGCAGCAGCAGCAAACAGATCTTTTCCCAACCATGCAAGCTGAGGGCAGCAGGAAGGGATGGGTGGGGATCCTTGGAGTATTTATTTAAAATATTTTACCCACCTTTCTCCTTAAAAGTACCCTCTTGTTAAAGAGCAACAGCAGACAAAACTCCCTAAAACAGACCCTTAGCAATGAGCAACCTCTCTACCTATGAAGGAGATTCACCTTCTTCCACTCCAGGCCATCAACAAATACAGAAGTGACCCATCAGGAAGATTCCCAATACAAGCAACAAGTTACACAGGAAATATTTGTCTGTGGTTAAGGAGCTCTCCGCCTGTTGTATGTGGTGGAATTGTTGAAAACATGGATGGGTGCAAATCAAATGTCTAGATCTGTCTTTCCTTCATCAATTTTTTAGAATCAGAAAACCCTCCAGGGCCATGTCTTTGTTCTCCTTGGCTCACCTCTTCCCTGAGAGACGAGTAGTTCAGCTCTGAAGGTGGAGGGAAGGCTGGGTACAAACCTGGAATTGGAGGGCAAGAGATTTGTTAAGGGAGGAGCCGAGAGAGGGAATGTTTTAACACTGGCCGACATAAACATCTTATGCAAAGCCTTTGGGGAGATGAAAAAAACAACAGATACTTGAAGGGGGTCAAGCCTTCTTTATCAAAACTCACTGGCTACTCATAGCCCAGGGATGAGTCTAGCACCACTCACAAGTAGAAACCACCAAAGGCTGCACAGGTCCCCTCCTAGGTCACACTTTTTTTCAGCCCTACTGCAACTCTCACTCACCTCCATCCTATTTCCATTCCACAAGCAAGAAAATAATTCGTTTCCTAGATCAGGCTATCTAAGCCCTGCTCAGAATTCAGAGCCTAACTCAACCCAGTCTCAGAACAACTCCACAAATCAAGAGCCAAAAGAGCACACAAGCCCCGCGGGCTCTCACCTTGCTCTGCCGCCTTCTTGTATGTTTCAAAGAGTGTGGCAAGCCGCGCACAATTGTACATCACAAAAGCTCCGCTTTTGGTTCCTTTGGTAGAGACGCTCGTCTCCTTCACGTCCAGAAGAACCTGAGCAGGCGAAAACAAACGGTGCCAGGCGAGCAGGAGGTAGAGAAGGGCAGCTCCCCAAAAGGTCCCAGATTTCCTTGTCTGCCTCCCCCTGCCAGGTATTTTAGGACTCCTCTCTGGGGAGTGAGATATATGAATCATTGAGCCACTCCACCCTCCCACCCCATCTCTGTTATTCAGAAAAGATAGCCTTGTCCAAACCAGACTGGACTCAGCTGTAGAAGAGGAATCCCAACAATTCTCCTACATAAGGTCAGATTTATCTCCTGCTTTTTGACTGTTCTTCTCCTCACTGTTTGTTTGATCCAAGATGCTTGCAATAGTTGCTGAAACCATGGCTAGCCCAAAATAGCCAGGTTCACTCTTCTGATTCACTCAAGGACAAGGGTGGGATACATCTGGCCTTATCCTAGAGTGCTGGACTACACTCCCCACCCGTGCGATCTAGCACAGCTAATGGTGAGGGATGAGGGCTGGTGTAGGCGAGGAACACCTGGAAGGCCATGCCTCTCTTCTGGACCATTAACTTCTTCTGTGTTTCTTCAGATTTAGCCACCTCACCCCCACCTTTAAGACACAAGGTTCTGCCCACACATTTGTTTGAACAAATCCTGTGTCCTTTTTTGGGGCTGGAGAGGGATTGACCCCACGCACTCCAACATGCTGTCGCTGGGATCTTGATTCAGGAAACAGCAGTTGTCAATTGCTTTTGTTTACCATTGATAGCTCAGCCTCCATGGATTAGCTAGCAGTTAGAATGCATACAAAGATCTGTGCACTATCGTCCATAGTCCAAAAACCTTCCCGTCCACCTGCCTGCCAACAAATTCTATCTTCCGAGTTAATTACAGGGCTGGAAGTTGCATAAAAATCATGTTCTCATAATACAGGATCCTGCACCCATGTTATATATGCTGGAATGAGCCATTTTGCCTAAGTATAAGCCCTTCGTGTGTCTCTCTGTCTCTGTCTCTCTCTGTCTCTCTGTCTCTCTCCCCCTTCTAAGCAACGACTGATAAAGAGCATCTCCAAAGGATTCCTTTGCTTACTTGGTTCCGATGGGTCGTGCCCAGTATCTCAAATCGGATGGAAGCTGAGGTCAATATGCTGATGGTTTCAGTCCAGGTGTCGTCTGCAGCAAGAAAACCAGAGATGAGAAAGCAGCTCAGCTCAAATGGAGTGAAGACCTCAGGGAAGGCGCCAGGGAACCCCCACTTTTCCCAAACTAATAGGCCAAATGGGAAGACTTGAAAGGTCAAGGACACTCAGAGGAAAGCCCTGCAAGAAGCTAGGCAGCAAACCGAAACCATCTAAGCAACAAACCCAGAAACATAAGGCTTTCCCTACCTGAAAACAGAAATAAGCTGCCCACCCAGCATGGGGATGCCTTCCCAAGGCCCCAAGGTGTAATAAGGCTCCAGAAAACCTCCAGCAGGGGAGGGAAGGGAAAGGGGGGGGAGAGAGAAATGGGTAATATGGAATAGGATGAAACTTTACCTTGAGAGAGGTCTCCATATTTCAGCACTGAAGCCTCATACATGTGGGAGTGCCGTAGCCTGTAAGGAATCAGCAAGAAGTATGTGTAACTCTTCAGTAGATTTGGCCATTCTCATTGGGCCAGTGGCCAGGCAAGCTGGCTGGCTGGAACTCTGGGAGCTGTAGTTCAAAACACTAGCTTTTCCAAGCTCTTTTTTTTTCATTGTAAACAAACAAACAATATTCAAAGGAATGCAGACACAGGGGAACAAAAGGAAAATACAGTATATGATATAGTTTTGGCTCCATGGCTGTGTTACAATAATAAAATCCAAACCTATTCTCTACTCATGTTTGTTTCTTGGCCCAAACATGAAATATTTTCCAGCTTTCTTTGACACATGTTCTCGGGTTCTCATGTAATGCCTCTGACAGGCGACCCACTTCTGCACTATCCAATAATTTTTTAATCACAGCCTCCACCTTCGGGTTTTCCTGATTTTTCCGGGTTTGGGTCCAAACAAGCCTTGCAGCTGTCAATATGTGCAACAACGTATATTTAATTTTTTTTATCAACAATTTCTGGCATTATATTCAGCAGAAACATTTCTGGCTTAAAAGCTATTTTTTGCTGTATAATTTTTTGTGTAGTATCTTTTCTCAGTCTCCAAAATCTTTTTACTATATCACATGTCCACCACATATGAAAAAGAGCCCCAGGCTGCTCACCACACTTCCAACGTGAGTTGCTAACTCCCAATGCCATTTTTGTCAATTCTAGAGGTGTAAGGTGCCATCTATAAAACATATTTAAAACATTTTTCTCTCACTTTTACTGGTTTGTACCACCTATAGTTATCATTCCACATTCGAGTCCAGTCATCTATGTCTATGTTATAACCTAAATGTTGTGCCCATTTAATCATCACTGCTTTCACCCTTTCATCTTCTAAATTATATTCTAACAAAAAAGTATACATTTTTGTATAATCTTATCACCAGTGTATATCCATAACCCATCCACCTGAACTTTCCCTTCATAAAAGCCCATTATTTTGTCTTTTTTTAAACCTTGATTCTAATTTTAACATCACTCACCAGTCCATCTGTAGACCGTTTTCCTTCAGCTCCTGTATATTTTTTTAATTGTTGCTTTTTGGTTAAAAGCTCTTTATACGTATATCTCAATTCTTTCGAGATTAGGTAAGGTTGGGTGAAAGCTTCCAAAGGCACAACCCATATCTTTTTTTTTTTTTTTTTGTATATTTGCCCCTGGAATTTTTGCTAAACCTGGTGTAGCACTCTCCTTACAATGTGCTCAGGAAAATGTGTTTGGTCTTTGATCTTGCCATGCCGTATATATGCGTGCTGTATAATCTTGGCTCCATGGCTGTTACAATACTAAAATCCATAACCTATTCTCTACTCATGTTTGTTTCTTGGCCCAAACATAAAATATTTTCCAGCTTTCTTTGACATATGTTCTCGGGTTCTCGTGTAATGCCTCTGACAGGCGACCCACTTCTGCACTATCCAATAATTTTTTAATCACAGCCTCCACCTTCGGGTTTTCCTGATTTTTCTGGGTTTGGGTCCAAATAACTGATTTTTTCCATTTATGGGCCCAGGACAACATTGCCGCTGTAAATAGGTGCAACAACATACAGTTAATTTTTTTAATCAACCATTTCTGGCATTATATTCAGCAGAAACATTTCTGGCTTAAAAGCTATTTTTTGCTGTATAATTTTTTGTGTAGTATCTTTTCTCAGTCTAAAGCAAGTGCAGACAAGATTGTAAGGGTCTTGGCTTGCCTAAAATGTTGACAGATGTGATCCACTCTTCTGAGTAGAGCAAATGGGTCCCGGATGGGAAACTGCTGGGGGAGGTCACTTACTGGAAGTACTGAAGAGCAAACATATTTAAAACATTTTTCTCTCACTTTTACTGGTTTGTACCACCTATAGTTATCATTCCACATTCGAGTCCAGTCATCTATGTCTATGTTATAACCTAAATGTTGTGCCCATTTAATCATCACTGCTTTCACCCTTTCATCTTCTAAATTGTATTCTAACAAAAAAGTATACAGTACATTTTTGTATAATCTTATCACTAGTGTATATCCATAACTCATCCACCTGAACCTTCCCTTCGTAAAAGCCCATTATTTTGTCTTTTTTAAAACCTTGATTCTAATGTTAACATCACTCAGCAGTCTGTAGACCGTTTTCCTTCTGCTTTCTTGCCACAGAGGCTCCTTAGGGGTCCTGGCGACTATTTTCTTTTCCTTCCAGTTCTACTGTTCAGCAAGATTAGCCAAGCAAGGCCAAAGGCAGAAGCCAGGCAGAGGGGCTTTGCTGACGATGGGAATTAAAATGGCCTTCTGTCTTTGAGCCAAGCCAACACAAATGGAAAAACTAGCCTTTCCCAAAAGACAGATGTGTAGGACTGCAGCTTCCATCGTCCCCTGGCAGTAGGACCAACAGGTATAGCCTGTCAGATACAGAGGGCACCAGGCTGAAATACAGGGAGTTCAGGAAACAAAAATGTCAGCCCCAAGATGGGAACATGTGCTTGCACAGAACCACGGGCAAGCCCATATCAAGGGACTGTAGTAGTCAGCCATTCACACCAAGAAGGGTGCTCAGAAAGCAAGTGCAGACAAGATTGTAAGGGTCTCAGCTTGCCTAAAATGTTGACAGATGTGATCCACTCTTCTGAGTAGAGCAAATGGGTCCTGGATGGGAAACTGCTGGGGGAGAAGAGTCACTTACTGGAAGTACTGAAGAGCGTTCAGAGGAGAAGCAGAAGGGATGGTTTTCACAGGTCCACAGACAAGGTGTTTCTAAAGAATTAACAGACACACAAAGCAGTAGCAGAGCTGCGGAATATTTGGAACATGCGCAATATAAGGAGAGAACAGAATCAAGGTGTTCAAACTCAAGCTCTTCAATTAGGCATCCTTTAAATTAGCAAAGTTCTTAAGACATCAAAAGCAGAAAGATGGGGCAGTTTCCACATCAGAACTGAAGATCCTGATTCCTGCACGAAGGGTGAGAGGCTGGGCACAGCAAATGGGCAAAACGGTCACTGTCCCACTTTCTGGTCTCCCAGTAGCAGCGTTCTGCTTTCTTGCCACAGAGGCTCCTTAGGGGTCCTGGCGACTATCTTCTTTTCCTTCCAGTTCTACTGTTCAGCAAGATTAGCCAAGCAAGGCCAAAGGCAGAAGCCAGGCAGAGGAGCTTTGCTGACGATGGGAATTAACATGGCCTTTTGTCTTTTAGCCAAGCCAACACAACTGGAAAAACTAGCCTTTCCCAAAAGACAGGTGTGTAGGACTGCAGCTCCCATCGTCCCCTGGCAGTAGAACCAACAGGTATAGCCCATCAGAGACAGAGGGCACCAGGCTGAGGAAATTATGTTTTATATGCACCTCTTGGCCTATGTATCTTCCCCCGAATTGAACAGCCGTTCCTCACCTGCAGATGGGTGAAAGCCTGTGGAGAGACCAGCCTCCACAGTAAGTCCACCTTCTGCTGCTGGAATGCCTCCTTGCTGTTCACCACGTGCACAACACTGAAGCATCTTCCTGGTGCCGCTGCCTGCAGAAAAAAAAATCAGCGGCTTGCATGAGATGCACGGACATGTCTAGGTATCATTTCAAGCCGCCGCCACCGAACATGTTCAGCGATGTTACTCACCAGGCACTGAAGGGCCACATGCTGCAGCTCAGCCACTTGGCACAGTTTCTCCTCTGTCACTGAGAGAGAAAGAAGGAGGGTTGAAAAGTTGTTCTCCCTCTCCTTGCCATGTCTGCTTCTGCAATACCGGGGGCTTTGACTTTCTAGAGCTCTCTGGGCTGATGCTTTGCAGCCGAAAGTTACAACCAACCTGCTCTGCAGAACCACACGAGGCCTTTCTCTGCTGGGTGGATAATATCATAGAATTGTGAGACCCATGCTTGGCTTCACCATAAGGCAGAATGTGCTGGCCACCTCACATAGCCCATTCGAGAGATTGTGAAAAGGCAGCCAGTTTAATATGTTATTCATGTATTTTTATTGCCACAGAAAGGCATTTATGGGACTTTCTGCATCAGCTGCCAAAATAACATGACCTGGCCCTGGATATTGTGTATGTGAATGGTGTGATGTGTGTGAGAGAGAAAAAAGCATCATCTGCTAATCCACCTGAGGCAGCAAGATGCCTTGGGCTAAGACACGATACGTCATTCAGTGGCCAAAGAAACAGCCTACCAAGAAAGCTATCCAGTTTCGGGTCGTAGTCCTCCAGGCCCTTTTGCAATGGCTTTTGCTCCAGGAACTTTTTCAACTGCAGCTTACAAAGAACTCCATCCTGATGCATCTGGGTAGATTCAGCATAGGGACACTGACGAAGGGCTTCCTTCATGGCATGGAGATGCTCAAGATTTGGGGACGTTTCCTGTACCAAAGGCCACTCGACTCGTAGCTGACGCAGAAACTGATGGATTTCCTCATCAGCCAAAGTTGGGGTCAGATGCACGTTGATTCTGCACAGAACATAATGGCACACCGTTGTCCACAGAACTGCCCTGACTGAGCAGAAGAAGCGCTAACCATGCTCTATATTTTGCCCAAGGAATAGGAGAAGATTCAGGATGAACCAATGAAGTGGGTGCTGAATTTAGGAGTCCACCTCTGGGTCAGTGACGGAGTCCAATCCTTTGAATGCACTTCATCCCAGGCATGTGACCTAAAAAGACCTCACATAAGAGGGCCTAGAAAACAGTGTATCTGAGGAAGATAGCATTGATACTGGGTCTGGATCAGCATAAGGCACCTGCCTGCCTGTATTTACACTGATTCGAGCCACCACTTCACCAGACTCTTACTGAAAGATGTTACTCAAGCCTCCAGCTCCTAACTCTAGTCTCACATCTATGAAAATGTCTTTAGTGCCCAAGGCAAAACAGTGGAAAACACCTTCAACAATGTGCAGTATCTTGAAAACCTTAGTGTTTCTTTTTTTAAAAAAACAACACACAAGTTTCTAGATACTACGCATGGAAAGGAGAAAGTATGGAGCACTAATGGATGAGTTTTCACAAGATAACGGGGAAGAGAAGAGGTGAAGGAGGAATTTCCCTGCTCATGACAATCACAGAAGTACAGTAGCTGCTCCCCATGACTTGAAGCAACAGAATATGTCACCAAAACCAAGCAAATACACGTACATTCCCTCAGTCCGAATATTGTAAGCAGACAGCAATATTTAGGCATTCTTGGCATCAAGGTCTGAAGGGCAAGCAAAGTGAGTAAATCCAGTTCCTAACCCTTGGGGAAACAGCCCAAAGCCCCTATAGACTGCTCTGTCCTTTGGAGTTTCTCCTGCAAAACCTGTACCAGGTTAGAAAATGTAGCTTTTGGACTGCCATTCCCAGAATCCCACAGCCATAGAGCAATTTCTCAGGACTGACTAGGGGATTTGGGGAGTTGTAGTTCAGAAATGTAGTTGCAGAATGGGTAGCCAGGTTAGTTTGTGCAAGCATTACAGGTAAAAGCAAAATAGAAATAAAAGGTTTTTAAAAGACAAAAACACGGCAGCACCTTAAAGACTAACTTTTAACTTTTTTAATGTGTCTGATGAAGTGGACTTGTCCACGAAAGCTCACATTAAGAAAATACTGTATGCTAGTTAGTCTTTAAGGTGCCACTACATTTTTGTCTTTTTAAAAACTTTTTGTTTCTATTTTGCTTTTACCTAGAGTAGCTCAAATTTTTTTCCAAGCTCTAGAAATGCTACATTCTCAGAGTTTTGCAGAAGCTCCTCAAAA